CCACCACTGCTGCCTGCCCACACCGTCTCCGCCACTGCTGCCTGCCCACACCGTCTCCACCACTGCTGCCTGCCCACACCGTCTCCACCACTGCTGCCTGCCCAAACCGTCTCCACCACTGCCCACACCGTCTCCACCACTGCTGTCTGCCCAAACCGTCTCCACCACTGCCCACACCGTCTCCACCACTGCTGCCTGCCCACACCGTCTCCGCCACTGCTGCCTGCCCACACCGTCTCCACCACTGCTGCCTGCCCACACCGTCTCCACCACTGCTGCCTACCCACACCGTCTCCACCACTGCTGCCTGCCCAAACCGTCTCCACCACTGCCCACACTCTCCACCACTGTTGCCTGCCCACACCGTCTCCATCATTGCTGCCTGTCCACACCGTCTCCACCAATGCTGCCTGCCCAAACCGTCTCCACCACTGTGCCTCCACCCCACACTGACATGTCTCCACCACTGTTGCCTGCCCACACCGTCTCCACCACTGCTGCCTGTCCACACCGTCTCCACCAATGCTGCCTGCCCACACCGTCTCCACCACTGCTGCCTGCCCAAACCGCCTCCACCATGCCCACACTGTCTCCACCACTGTTGCCTGCCCACACCGTCTCCACATGCTGCCTGTCCACAACCGTCTCCACCACTGCTGTCTGCCCAAACCGTCTCCACCACTGCCCACACCGTCTCCACCAACTGCTGCCTGCCCACACCGTCTCCACCACTGCTGCCTGCCCACACCGCTCCACCACTGCTGCCTGCCCACACTGTCTCCACCACTGTTGCCTGCCCACACCGTCTCCACCACTGCTGCCTGCCCACACCGTCTCCACCACTGCTGCCTGCCCACACCGTCTCCACCACTGCTGCCTACCCACACCGTCTCACCACTGCTGCCTGCCCAAACCGTCTCCACCACTGCCCACACCGTCTCCACCACTGCCCACACCGTCTCCACCACTGCCCACACCGTCTCCACCACTGTTGCCTGCTCACTCCTGGCTCTTACTTTCTCCCTAATGACACACCTTCAGGCTTCATTCCATCTTCCTCGCTCACCCCCAAAAACTGTCTTCACATAAAAGCAACTGAATCAAACCTGATTACCCGCCACTCATCACATTTTCCTGACGTGGTATGACCTCTACGGGTTTGCCGCTTCACTATATTAATAATAATAATTATTATTATTGTGACAATAATAATATATACATTTATAATCGTCACTTGGATCAGCATTACTTTAAATAATAACATAACTCATAACTATTGCAGCCATCTACTTATTTTTACAATAACACACATTGCAGTGATTTTTTTCAATCAGCATTAATTTTCTGGAATCTAACATACATATATTAAGTACCTACACCTACAAGATAATGGCTATTATGAATCACACTTCCAGCAATAATGACCTCTATGTTATATAGAAACTTTAACATTCTACATTGCAATTTTGTTGTTATAACGTCCATGCTAAGTCATCACAAGACACTCTGACCGCAGTAAGATTTAATCATTTAATTTTACATCTACTTTATACACAGTTAAGCCATACACTCGAGATAATGTTGAACTGATAATAGTTAAGGCTTGTTAAGATTTATCTCCAGTTTGTTTTAGTTGTCGTTTGTTGTAATATTTCTTTTGTCCTTATATGTATCTACTGCAAATAAATTTTATTCCCAGATACTGTCGCCTGTCATGATCATTTGTATTTAATATCTTCCACCAAAAATAAACTTGTAGGCTTAATGCCAAGGTAACCGCTAGGCTATGAGTCTTAATACCAAGGTAACCACTAGGCTCCGAGTCTTACTAACAAGGTAACCACTAGGCTCCGAGTCTTACTAACAAGGTAAACACTAGGCTCCGAGTCTTGATAACAAGGTAACCACTAGGCTCCGAGTCTTAATACCAAGGTAACCACTAGGCTCCTAGTCTTGATAACAAGGTAACCACTAGGCTCCGAGTCTTAATACCAAGGTAACCACTAGGCTCCGAGTCTTAATACCAAGGTAACCACTAGGCTCCGAGTCTTGGTAACAAGGTAACCACTAGGCTCCGAGTCTTAATACCAAGGTAACCACTAGGCTCCGAGTCTTGATAACAAGGTAACCACTAGGCTCTGAGTCTTGGTAACAAGGTAACCACTAGGCTCCGAGTCTTGGTAACAAGGTAACCACTAGGCTCCGAGTCTTGAATAACAAGGTAACCACTAGGCTCCGAGTTTTAACAAGGTAACCACTAGGCTCCGAGTCTTGATAACAAGGTAACCACTAGGCTCCGAGTCTTAATACCAAGGTAACCACTAGGCTCCGAGTCTTAATACCAAGGTAACCAATAGGCTCCGAGTCTTGATAACAAGGTAACCACTAGGCTCCGAGTCTTAATACCAAGGAAACCACTAGGCTCCGAGTCTTGATACCAAGGTAACCACTAGGCTCCGAGTCTTAATACCAAGGTAACCACTAGGCTCCGAGTCTTAATACCAAGGTAACCACTAGGCTCCGAGTCTTGATAACAAAAGGGAAACCCCTAGGCTCCGAGTCTTAATACCAAAAGGGAACACTAGGCTCCGAGTCTTAATACCAAGGTAACCACTAGGCTCCGAGTCTTAATAACAAGGTAACACATAGGCTCGAGTCTTAATAACAAGGTAACACTAGGCTCCGAGTCTTAATACCAAGGTAACCACTAGGCTCCGAGTCTTAATACCAAGGTAACCACTAGGCTCCGAGTCTTGCTAACAAGGTAAACACTAGGCTCCGAGTCTTAATACCAAGGTAACCACTAGGCTCGAGTTTTATACCCAAGGTAAACCCCTAGGCTCCGAGTCTTGCTAACAAGGTAAACACTAGGCTCCGAGTCTTAATACCAAGGTAACCACTAGGCTCCGAGTCTTGCTAACAAGGTAAACACTAGGCTCCGAGTCTTGCTAACAAGGTAACCACTAGGCTCCGAGTCTTAATACCAAGGTAACCACTAGGCTCCGAGTCTTGCTAACAAGGTAAACACTAGGCTCCGAGTCTTAATACCAAGGTAACCACTAGGCTCCGAGTCTTAATACCAAGGTAACCACTAGGCTCCGAGTCTTGTTAACAAGGTAAACACTAGGCTCCGAGTCTTAATACCAAGGTAACCACTAGGCTCCGAGTCTTAATACCAAGGTAACCACTAAGCTCCGAGTCTTAATACCAAGGTAACCACTAGGCTCCGAGTCTTAATACCAAGGTAACCACTAGGCTCCGAGTCTTAATACCAAGGTAACCACTAGGCTCAGAGTCTTAATACCAAGGTAACCGCTAGGCTCCGAGTCTTAATTCCAAGATAACCGCTAGGCTCAGAGTCTTAATAACTAGGTAACCACTAGGCTCAGAGTCTTAATACCAAGGTAACCGCTAGGCTCCGAGTCTTAATACCAAGATAACCACTAGGCTCAGAGTCTTACTAACAAGGTAAACACTAGGCTCCGAGTCTTAATACCAAGGTAACTGCTAGGCTCCGAGTCTTAATACCAAGGTAACCACTAGGCTCCGAGTCTTGCTAACAAGGTAAACACTAGGCTCCGAGTCTTGCTACCAAGGTAACCACTAGGCTCCGAGTCTTAATACCAAGGTAACCACTAGGCTCCGAGTCTTTTTACAAGGTAACCACTAAGGGTCCGAGTCTTAATACCAAGGTAACCACTAGGCTCCGAGTCTTAATACCAAGGTAACCACTAAGCTCCGAGTCTTAATACCAAGGTAACCACTAGGCTCCGAGTCTTAATACCAAGGTAACCACTAGGCTCCGTGTCTTAATACAAGGTAACCGCTAGTCTCCGTGTTCCCCCCTTTCAATACCATGGCTTTTTAAACCACTATCCTTTCCACGTCTCAAACTTCAAGAATTACCCAGATACTTTGTCTTAATAGAAAAATTTACTATTAAGGTCTCCCGCTAGTTGGCTAAACACCAATGTAAAACTAACAAGTTTAGGTTTAATATGAGACCACGGATTAAATTCCTGTCAGCAAACTTAAGCGATTATTTCATTTACATTTTATAAGTTAACTTAGAAAAAAATTTTTTCAACGATTAAGTTATGCCAAGAATGGCTGTGTAAACCCTTGTGATATTGTACACTTTATATCACATAGTATCAACGCTATGAAGGATACTGGAAACCCAAGGTGATCTTTTTAACATTTCATAGATTTGTCACTTACATAATTATCAAACATTGTAACTTAGCAACCACAACTGGGTTTTTTCAAGATTAAGTTTGTAAGGAAGCTTTGAGGGAAAAGCCGTTTGTTATAATTTTTGGACTTTTTTTACATGTTGTTTTAAAAGCAGATTACAAGACCAATTGTATTTGCTAAAAATACAAAAAATTTTTAGGTCATATTACAATAAACTTGAGAAATAACTTTCAATTAGTTAAAATACTGATTTTGTTAAGAAAAATTTAGAAGTATTTAAAATGTAATTTTTTAGTTTGATGGAGGAATTACCAATGTTGCTTAACGTTATTGCCTTTTAGGACGATTTATTATTTAGTTGTTTATCCCAATAATCAATAAATCCTTAAGGTTCCTACACTACATAACGGTCTTGGTAAACTTAGCTCAGAATTCTATTGCCGGTTTAAGAGATAATGTATTATGTTATTGAAAATTAGCTACCTTTAAAATCCATCTTGAGAATTTTAGTCTGCTGCCTTGCCTGCTGAATTGACTCATGTGATTGCTGTTGGAAGCGTTGGTTGTCTTGCCTGGATCGAGGAAGTGTGGATGGTTCACCACATTCTTAGTTGTTTATCTCGCGAATAGTCTGTCATTTTGGCCGATTTCCTACACTTGGACAATGAAGTCTGTGTTTTGGGGGATGTCCCGTGCGTCATGCACATTCTACTTCCAGTTTAGAGATGAATGTTTGTTGTTATTGCTCTGGGTGACCTCTTCACCGTAAGCCACCTCCATCTGTGAGAGTACTGTGTGGTCTGCTGCCTTGCCTGCTGCTGCTGCTGCTGCTGCTGCTGCCTGCTTCAACCCGCTGCCCCCTGGCACTGACGAGTTGTCTGCCTGGATGCGAGGAAGTGTGGAGGTGGGTCTCACACACTTCTTCACTGTCTGCTACTTCCATCTAGGCGCTGAGTGTCTGTCAGGGTGCTTGCCGCGCTGCCCGCCCGAGTGCTCGCTGTTGTGGTACAGTTCTTCGTCCAGTAGCAACTCGAAGTCTCCGTGCTTCTCTGGCGCCGGTACCTTGTTCCAATGCACGCTGGTACATGACACATTAATGCACTCTTAACACATTTTATAATGATCTTGCTTACAAATAATATTAAATTGATACCGAAATAATTCAGCAAATCATAGTAATCTTTCAGAGAGAAAATTTTAGAATTTACAGTTGCGTGAACATAATAAAATATGTAAATATAAAAGCCAAGTGGACTCGAACCTAGGTTCAGTTGAAGGCCACCTGGTGCCATGTGTATGTTATGTTCTTAGGCAGAGCTTTTTTCTCTTGGTTTATAAAACAATCATAGTTATGCCACACAAGTTTAGTACAAATTCAACCGTGCATTAATGCTCGAAAATCTGGCTCAACTTCGCGGAATTTTTATATTTCACTGATGCAAAATAATTATTAACTAAAATTAGGCTGACAGTTTAGATTAACGTAGGAAATATTGGACAGATTAAGCTTAAATTATGTGACGTTATTTTTAACAAGATGAAGTAAGGATGTCAAGATAATGTTGATGTACAAATTATATATATACATATATAATCAGTAATAACCCATATGGAGACAAAAACACAGGAGGTTAATTGATCTGTATATTTCGACCCCTTTCTGGGACCTTCTTCAGCAGAAGACGATCGTAGAAGTGGGTCGAAATATACAGCTCAATCAGCCTCCTGTGTTTCTGTCTTCATGTGGATTATTATTGAGCATTGACCAGTGTTCATTACAGCTAAGCCGAATGTGACATAGTATAATAATTTTTGTTACTTTTTATTAAGAAGAGTTTGAGAGAAAGAGACATAGCGAGAGAGAGAGAGAGAGAGAGAGAAAGAGAGAGAGAGAGAGAGAGAGAGAGAGAGAGAGAATTTGTCAGTGCTCCTACACCTGACAGTACACTTGCCATCACTGCTCCAACACCTGCCGGTACACCTGGCAGCAGTGATCCATCTGCCGATAACTAGTCGGGTTTTTCTCCACCAAAGATTGGTGCAGCTAAATATCAGATGTCCAACACTTTACCTGAACAAGTGCGGTGTTGTCTCACCGTCCACCAACACAGTCCCAGGAAAACGCCAACCTGGTAAATAATCATCGGGCTCACCAGCAGCAGAACTTACAGAGAAATCAGATGTTAAACACAAGAGGTGTAGAAAATAGGAGACTGCCCTCCCAGGCACCTAGGCAGTGCCCCCGCTGTCACCAGAGGGGGCACACCACTAACAACTGCCTGTGAGATACCAGGTGCAATTACTGCCACAAAAGGGGATATCAGAAAGACCAGTGTCGTAAAAAAAGGAATTTGACAGACAGGATCACCATTTCTTTAGAGATTTATTCTCAGAACAAACCATCAAGTTCTCAGACCTGGTGAACACACTCGTCACCAACCCAGCTACTCCTACGTCGGCTCAGCAGTTGGTTTTGTGCATTGTTAAAGACCACAGAGCTACATCCAAGTGGGTGCCCTAATGTCCTACCTGTCTCAAGGACAGAACTTTACAGACCAATCAACTAAGCTGAACACAGTCATACGGGGACCCAGTCTATCAGCATCCTGTCAGCCAACAGTATCATCGTTGCTGAGACATTTCTGGACGACAGGACTCCAGAAAAATTTGCTGGAATTGCTGGATACGTCTCATGGACGAGCAGAGATAGACAAGAACAAGGAGGAGGTATTTCCGTGTGATTTTCTACAAGTGTTCATTCCCAGCTCATTGATGTTGCTATCCCTAATCACCTGGAAATGCCGTTCTTCAAGCTATGCATAAACACTAGTACCTCTGTAATAGCAAGTGCAATGTACAGACCTCAGTGGCAACATGCAGACCCCATCAGCTCCCTGATGGAAAATGTGGACTCCTTTTTGCTTCAACATAAATGTCAATATATTATAATTGTTGGTGACCTCAACCAGCATCTTATATAGTGGAATTCTTATGAACTTCTTGCAGTGCTTAACATGAGAAACTTGTTGATTTCCCTTCTAACATCTCTGGCTCTTCCTTCGACTCAGCAGTGAGTGCCAACCCCTCGGCTATGTTGGATCATCTCACCACAAGGCTGTCTTTACGACAATGAAGATTCCAATAGAACGAGGTGAAGCATCTACACTCACATCCTGGCTAAAGGAAAGAGGAATCTGGCCGGCCCTTTTCTCTGAGCTCACTACCTCCGATTGGAATGTTTTTCTCCAAGGTGATGTTGATAACCAAGCGAATGCCTTCACTGAACACATCCTTAATCACCAGCAAAATTACATCCCTCACAGGCAGTATGTGACTTCGTCACATACTGCCGGAGACTTTGTTGTCGAGAGGCTGCAACTGCTAAGTATAAGGTTTGGAGAAGGCATAAATGGCATCCGACTATCTATAACAGGAAACTGCACAGACAAGCCTTTTGCAAAGTGATCTATCTCTAGATGGGACGCTGACAAAAAAAAAAGAAAGTTGGCATCAGGTAAAGTGGGCTGCAAGACCTAGTGGCCTTGGACAAGGAACGACAGGTTTATTTATTTGATAAAATTATTTTACCTCTAAATCGACAGGATGGGACCGTCTCTTCTAACAGTCAGGAGAAAACTGACCTCTTTGCCGAGCACTTTTCTGCCAAGATGTAAGTTCCTGATTCAGCATGGGAACCTCCTTTGCCAGCCGTGAGAACTGTGCCAAAGTTGTCAATAACGACAATAAGACAAGATGAAGTGTGTCTTCTCCTTAAATCGCTAGACCAAGAAAAGTCTGTGGGCCCAGGTATGTTGAGCCCAAAATTACTGAGATGTGCAGACCAGCTAGCAGCACCTCTAACTCACATCTTTCAGTATTGTCTAGCACAGTGTAAATGGCCTGAAAGAGTCAAATGTAGTCCTTGTTCATGAAAAAAGAAAAGCAGAGTGGAAATCAGCAATCACAGATAAGTGTCACTCTTCGCAATCACTGGCAAGATTCTTGAGACAATAATTTCAGGGCCGATGTCAGCGTTTTTCGACTACCACTCGCTTCTTTGTGACCGTCAATATGGCATCAGAAAAGGTCGCTGCTGCTGATCTGCTGTTAAACTTCACTATGTGGCACCAGTCACTGGATGAATTCTAGGTCAATATGAATTATAGGACCGAGTATGGCACCAGGGACTCCTGGCAAAACTGCAAGCACTGGGAATTGTCGGTTCTGCACTATGCCTTCTCAGTGATTACCTTCAAGGTAGATCTCTATGCGTAGTTCTCAATGGGATAAAGCCAAAAAGACACTTATTGGTGCACGTGTTCCATAGGAAAGTGTGCTTGGCAAATTGTTACGAAATATTTACTTCAGTGACCTTCTTCCTCTCATTCCAGAATCCCATGCATATACAGACGACTATTCTCTGACATTTACTTATCCAAGAGAAGAAATACCAGCTGCTCTAAGTTACACATCAATCATCAGCTTACAGCTATATCAGCCTGAGGAAAATGATGGCAGGTCACATTTGCTCCTGCGAAGACACAAATGATGATGGCTTCTAAGCACCATGATGCTAATGCTTGAGTAGTGGTAAGAATGAATGGAATAGTGTTGGTACCCGGGGACAAAGTTGATATCCTTGGGATGAAATTTTACTCCAAACCGAGTATGAAGAATCACGTTGTAAATCTTGCAAACACGGCGACCAGGAAGCTTACAGTAGTTAGACGTATCTCACATCTCGACAGTAGAGGATGCAAGATTCTGTACGAGGCACAAGTACGTTCACATCTTGAGAATGCTCCACTTTCTTGGATTTCCTGCCCTCCATCTCATGTGCAACTTCTTTACAGAATAGAGAACAGAGCAAGATGACTCAACTCTCGCCTAGACCCAGCCTGGACAGATCTGTCATTTCAGCAGAACCTTCAACACCAGAGGGATGTGAGTGGCTTTACTGTTATATACAAGGCTAATTCATGTATTGTTAAAATGCCACACTTGGCTCCACTCCAAGGACAGCGAGAAATGAACTTCTACACAACAAGACGGGCAGCAAGCAGCAATGTCACTTTGACTGTACCCTTCTCCAGAACATCACTTTCATCTGAGATCATTTATTCTCAGGATGACTCGTGCCTGGAACATAATAACATTAACGAAACAAAGTCAGTTGACCAAATGAAATCGCTGGCTCACAGATGGCTCCAATTTCATCTTGTTCCCTATTTGTATGTCTCATACCAATAAAAAGGCTTTTAAATGAGGTGATGTAGGTAACAGCTCTAAGCTTGTAAATAAAGTTAGGAATCCTTAAGCCAACCTTGTAAAACCCTCTGTAAAGAGAGAGAGAGAGAGAGAGAGAGAGAGAGAGAGAGAGAGAGAGAGAGAGAGAGAGAGAGAGAGAGAGAGAGAGAAAGAGAGAGAGAGAGAGAGAGAGAGAGAGAGAGGAGAGAGAGAGAGAGACTGTACACTGACATTCACTTATCCAAGAGAAGAAATGCCAGCTGCTCTAAGCTACATCAATCACCAGCTGAGAGCTATATCAGCTTGGGGAAATAGATGGCAAGTAACATTTGCACCTGAGAAAATGCAAATGATGATCGTCTCTAGTCACCATGATGGTAATGCTGGTGCAGTAATAAGGATGAATGGGAGGGTGTTGGCACCCCGGGAAGAAAGTTGATACCCTTGGGGGAAAAATTTTACTCCAAACTAACCCTTTAAGAACCAAGTTGTAAATCTTGCAAACAAACAGCCAGGGGGAAAACTTGCCCGCACTTCGGGTATCTCGCCTCCCCTGCTTTACAGTAGGGGGGTTTCAAGACCTTACCGGGGGCAAGTACCTTTACACTTTGAGTATGCCTTTCCAAATTTCTTGGTTTTTCCTGCCCCCCCCCCTCATCTGGGGCTGCTTTTACAAGTAAGAAAAAAGAAACAAGGGCGTCCATCTCTCGCCTGGGGCCCCATCCTGGGTAATCGTCATTTCCCGCAAAACCTTCAAATGGGGGGATTGGGGGGGGTCCTTTTCTGTTTTGTAAAAAGGCCAAATTTTTGTCAAAATACCAAAACTTTTGGGTCCACTTTTGAGGGGCAGCGTGAAACCCGCTTTTTTTGGGCCCCCAAGACGGGCAGGGAAAAACCAAACAATTAAATCTGGCTTACCCCTTTTCCAAACATACTCCATCTGAGATCATAAAATACCCAAAGGTGACTCGATTTTGGGGAAAACCCCTTCGTACAGGGATTAAAGGGTGTCAACGAGATAAGGCATTATCAAAAAGAAAATGCTGGCCCCCCGATGGGTCCAACTTCATCCTGTTTTTTTCCCCCACTTGTAATTTTCTTAACAATAAAAAATGCTTTCAAATGACGATGTGGTAACAGCTCCCTTTGCTTGCCAATTTAAATTGGAATTTCCCTTAAAATTAAAAATGAAATAGCTTTTCAATAAAGCTAGGGATCCTTACCTTGTCAAACCCCCGTGTAAAAAGAGAGAGAGAGAGAGAAGGGAGAGAAAAGAGAGGGAGAGAGAGGGGGAGAAGGGGAGGAGAGGGGAAGGGGAGAAAGAGAGAAGGGGGGGAAAAGAGGGGAAAAAGAGAGAGGGGGGAAGATGGGTCACGGGGTGCTCCAAAAAACTTTCCTTTAAAATTTCTTAAAAACGAGGGTTGGGGAGGATTAAAAAATGTTTATGACGAAGTTTCTAATACAAACACATTAGTGCAAGTAAGCCCCCAAAACCCCCCTCCCACTTTAAGTGAATATTGTTAAAATCCCGTGAAATTTAAATGTGGGTTTTGGGGAAGATTTTGTGTAGGGTGGGGGACACGGCAGGCCTAGGGGTGGGGCCCCAAATATTGCCTTCCCGTGAGGGATCTAATATTAAAATGTGTTTTTTGCTATGAATAAACTTTTGGTGCTTTATAACAACGTGGCTGGGGACAAATGCAAAATAGTGATTTTTTGGGAACATCTTCCAAATTTGTGGGAAAAATGGATAAAAAAATTTCTTGTTTGGCCCCCCCCTTTTCTGCATGTTTGGGGATATGTTTTCCAGAGTTTTGGGGGTCCCCCCCCGCGGCCCCCCTGGAAGGGGCCCCCTTGGAAGCCCTAAAAGGTGGTCCCCTTTTTTAGAAACCAAAAAAACCACCCCCCGGGACGGGCTGTTTTAGGGCTTTTTTCCCAAAGCGAAGACCCCGGGGTCTTTGGTTTACCCCCTTTTTGGGCGGGGGCATTAAAAATTTTGGGCCCCCCTGAACACATTGTACTTTAAGTCAGTAAACCCTTTTTTAAAAGGGGGGATTCCCCAGCTCCAAAACTTTTCTTTCTAGTGATGTTTTTTAAAGTTCATAGTTTAAAAACCCGGGTGAATAATATTATTTCCCCCTGTTTCGGGAAAAAACGGGGTTTAAAACCTAAAACCTTTTAAAAAAAAAAGGAGGGTGGAAAGGGGAATTTTTAGTGGTTTTAGGGGAAAAAAGGGGGTTTTAAGTGCAAAAATTTCCCCCTTTTAAAAATGCTAAGAGGGTTTGGGTTTCCCCTTTTTTGAAGTTTTTTAATAAACCCTTTTTTTCAGAAGCATTTAAAGGGAAAAAGGGAAAAGATTATTAGGAAGAATTTTTTTGCAGCCAGGAAAAAATTTCGAAAAGGGGAAATCCATACCCCTTTATATTTTTCCCTATACAGGGGGTTAAAAACCTACTGGGACTTTGTCAAAAAAAAGTGCCCCTTCATTTTGAAATTTTGGTAAAAAACCTTTCCAAAATTTGAGCCCCAAACTTAGTCCCCAAAGCTATTAAAGGGCATCAAACCCCCACAATAAACCCCCACGTTTAAACCCCTTTCGGACTAACCCCAACTACAAAACTCGGGGTAAAAAAAAGGGGATTTTTTGCTAATCCCACTCAATTTAAAAACATTTATTTGGGTTAAACACAACCCAAAACCCGGGGGAAAAAATTTTTCCCCAGCAGGAAAAAAAATTAAAATTTTAATTCCTACACCTGTTTGTATCACCGCCATTAAAGTCAATCCACCTCGATCCCAGTCAGAACCTGCCGGCCTTTAAATTGGCAGCAAGTTTCCCCAAAGGGATCAGGAGTTTCCCCAAAATTGGTCAAAAAACAGGGGAATTAAATTCATGAAAACCCTGCATAAAAGTACAAAAGGGGGCACTTTGTAGAATTTAAAGCGGGGCAAACGGAAAGGATAGGGGAACCTTTTACGTGGCCCCCCTCCATAAATTTTTGGGAATTTCAAAAAACCGACAGGAAAAACCTGGCAACGGGACTTTTGGGAAATTTTTCCCACACGGGCTTCATCACCTCAAAAAAAATTTGAAAACAAAATGAAAATTTCACCCCATTTGGCATTTCAGTCCAAAAATTTTTTAAAGTTGGGGGCAAACCCTCACCAAGTTGGGGGATTTTTATCACCCCCCTTTTCTTCAAGATCCCTTTTTATGGGATGAAAAGAAATTGTCGAACTTTTAAAAAAGAAAAGAGGGACTGGAATTTAAGAAGTTTTTCCCCCCCGCCTAGGCAAACGGCAAAAAAACAGGAAGGTAAAAAACCCCACCCCCCCCAACCTAGGGGGGCTCTCGCTTCATGGGGGGGCAACTGCCAGAAAACTGCCTGCGAAAACCCAGGTGAATTACTGCTACAAAAAAGGACATAGAGACCAGTGTGGGAAGAAAAAGGGAACTGACGACAGGACCACCTTTTTAGAACCTGTTCTCAGAACAACCACGGATCTCTGAATTGGTGAACACTCTCACACGTCACCCCTCCTTCTCCTATCCCAGCCCGCAGGTGGATTGTGCCTTATACAAGACCCCAGCCTAATCCCTCAGGGTGCCTCAGACCCTACTCTTCAAGGGGAGCACCTTTCATCCCTCCACCCACCACCTCAAGCTGACCCCATAACATGAGGAGCCATCTATCAGATCCTTCGGCCAAAAATTAGAGGTTTCATTATAAGTGGGAGCTCACACACATTTTGTGAACACTCGACGTCCCGACATGAAGCTGTTGTTAAAACTATTTGGATGAGGACTCCAAAAATTTTGCAAATTGCTGGCTTACCTCAGGGTGAGAAGAGACAGGCAAGGGCAAGGGGGAGGTTTGCTGGTTTCTTAAAAATGTTTATGCCCACACATTTTGTTCAAACCCCTACACATCTTTAAAGTGTTTTTCAAGCTCTGCTAAACCCCAGTACCTCTGTACTAGCATGTGCAATGTACAACCTCAGGGCAACATGTGATCCCATAACTTTCCCAAAGGAAAAAAATTGACTCCCCTTTTGCTCAACACCCCCTGTCAAAAAATAAATTGTTTGGGGCCTAACCCACCTTATACAGAGGACTGTGATGACCTTCTTGCAGTGTTTTTTATGAGAAACTTTGTTGATTTCCCCCCTACATCTCTGGTTTTCCCCCCTTGACCCCCTGTGAGTATCGGCGAAAAATGTCACTTGTCAACCCCTGGCCGTTATCGTCTGACCCAAGGCCCGTTTTTACGACCTTAAGTCCCAAAAAGAACGAGGGGAGGGGTCCAACGCACAACCTGGTATGGAAAAGGGGGGAAGGGGTTGGGGGGGGGGGGGGGGGGGGGGGTTGGGGGGGGGGAGGGGGTTTTAAATTCCAAAAACAATTTTCCCCTGGCTTTGGCAACTCGGAATTGGGGCTTTCTTTAAGGGTGTTGGACAAACAGGGGGTTAAAGGAACCCCAAACATCGGAATCCCAAACAACCAAAAACTTCAAAAGGGGGGATTTAAAAGGGAGGGGAACCCAAAGGAAACACCGGGGGGTCTAAAACCGGTGGTCCCCGGGAAAACAACAGGTTTTTTGGGGAACCTCCACCCCTAAAAAAAGGGGAAAACTTGCAAAAGGCAGCCTTTTTAACATTTGTACCAAAAAGGTTCATCCCCGAAAGGGAGGGTACTAAAAGGAAAGCTTTGGGGATCAGGAAAAGGGTTTTTTTTAAACTTCCAAAAAAAGGTTTGGGGGCCCGGGGAAGGACCCAAAAAAAGTTCGACCTAGAACTCAATCCACTTTTAGATCCGCCCGGAAAAGGCCCCTCCTTTTGGAAAAGGCAATGTACCCTTTCACAAAAAAAAGAAGCAAAATCACAACTACAGACCATGTCCCCCCCCGTAAATTACGGGTAAGATCCTTGAGACAATAACCAAGCAAATGACAATTTTTTTGAGGGGTCACTCCAATTTTGGGATCGTCAATAGGGCTTCAGGAAGGTTTTTGCTGCTAATCTGTTTTTAAAACCCTCCCCTAGTGACACCGTCACTGGATGAATTCCAAAGTCAAGCTGTGGGGTTTGCATTTGGGGCCCATTGCTGCCAGCTTTCGACCGTGTGGCACCAAGGCCTCTTAGCAAAACCTCAAGCATGGGAAATTGCAGCTCTACACAGGGTCTCCTCAGGATTACCTTCATGGTAGATCTCTAAGTAGTTCTCAAGGAACGAAATGAACAAGACATCCTATTTGGGCAGTTTCCAAGGAAGCGTGCTGGACTTTGTTATGAAATTCTACTTAAACGGACCTTCTCATCTATCCCAGAATCACAGATATGCAGACGACTGCCACTGACATTCACTTACCAAAGGGAGAAAAATGCCAAGTTGCTCTAAATACATCAATCACCAGCTGAGAGTTTATCAGCTTGGGAAATAGATGGCAAGTAACATTTGCACCTGAGTTAGTTAGTTAGTTTAATATGTTTATTATGCACCCCATACCCATCCTGTGGGCGGTAGTCAAAAGATTACAGAGGTACATAATTGGTCCTGGGACTGGACTCCAAAGTTTTGATAGCTGAGCACCTGAGAAAACGCAAATGATGATCGTCTCTAGGCACCATGATGGTAATGCTGGTGCAGTAGTAAGGATGAATGGGAGGGTGTTGGCACCTGGAGAAGAAGTTGATATCCTTGGGGTGAAATTTGACTCCAAGCTAACCATGAAGAACCATGTTGTAAATCTTGCAAACAAGGCAGCCAGGAAGCTTACAGCACTTCGCTGTATCTCGCATCTACTTGACAGTAGGGGTTGCAAGATCCTGTACGAGGCGCAAGTACGCTCGCACCTTGAGTAGCCCCCACTTTCTTGGTTTGCCTGCCCCCCCCTCTCATCTGCGACGGGCTTGACAGAGTAGAGAACAGAGCAAGACGTCTCATTTTCTAGCCTGGACCCATCCGGATAGATCTGTCATTCAGCAGAGCCTTCAACATAGGAGGGATGTGGTGGCCTTACTGTTATGTACAAGGCCAATATTGTCAAAGTACCACACTTGGATCCACTTCGGGGACAGCGTGAAAAAAGCTTTTATGCCCACAGATGGGGGGAGAAAGCAGCAACTTCACTCTGGCTGTACCCTCTCCAGAACTCACTCCATCTGAGATCATACATACCCAGGATGACTCGAGTATGGAACACATTCGTACAGCAAAATTTGATTTTCAACGAGATAAAGTCAGTTGATCAAATGAAAATGCGGGCCCCACCGATGGCTCCAACTTCATCCTGTTCCCTACTTGTATTCTCCTTAACAAAAAAAAGCTTTCAAATGAGTTGATGTAGGTAACAGCTCTTTTGCTTGCCCAAAAAAAGTTAGGAATCCTTAACCTGTAAATAGCTTGTCAATAAAGCTAGGGATCCTTAACCTTGTCAAACCCTGTGTAAAAAAAAAAAAAAAAAAAAAAAAAGGAGAAGAGAGAAGAGAGAAAGGAGGAGAAGAGAAAAGAGAGAAGAGAGAGAAGAGAGAGAGAGGAGAGAGAGAGAGAGAGAAAGAGATGAGAGAAGAGGGAGAGAGAGAGAGAGAGAGAGGAGAGAGAGAGAGAGAGTGAGAGAGAGAGAGGAGAGGAGAAGAGAGGAGAGAGGAGAGACATGGCCAGGAGGTAACACAATTTGATAATATCGCGACCAGTTTGACTTCATGATCTGCGTTGGCTGTGGTGAGCATGGACGGCGAGGCATTTACCTGCAACCAAACACAGGTTAATGAATTGTAGTAGATGTTAAATTGTTTACCAGTGTAAGATGTACAAGGTAAGAGGTTAGTGGTGAGTTCGAAATGAGGTTGTTACTCAGTGTTAATCACCAGATGATTATGATAATGATAATTACTAGGTAGTGATTAGTAATTCAAACAAATGTGCTTTATTCATGACTGTAACAAAATATTTTATGTAGTAGGCCTAGGTCATGTGTAGTAGACCTTGAAAACCATTCTGTGTAGTAGACTCAGAGGATGAAGAGGATAATTGAGTGTGTTGCTAACCACTGTGAACAAAGGTCTATACTGCAGTAAACAACACTTGACAATACCTCGATCATCCAGGGCTTGAGTTGGTCGTCGATGATGATGTCATAACCATAACATTCAAAGCAGTGTCGATCAGAAGCCATGATGGGCGCCACGGCTCTGAGGGAGTGTACTACAAGCCAATTATATCAGAGAAGAGCTTGTCAGTGCGGACTTTGCCTCTGGTACCCTCCAGGTAGAGACGTAAGGTCCTCACTGGCCACTTACCACCGTGGACACTGTTGTATTCTTCCTGAAAGAGGGACCACGCCGCTGTAACATAAGGTTAACAGTATTCTAATGAATCTTATATTCGTCCTCATAGCGGTGTCAAAAAATTTATTGTGAATCCGGGGCCCAAAACTGTTCAACAGCCTCCCATCAGCATTAGGGGCATTGCCAATAAGCCCCTGGCTGCCTTCAAGAGAGAGCTGGACAGATACCTAAAGTCAGTGCCGGATCAGCCGGGCTGTGGCTCGTACGTTGGACTGCGTGCGGCCAGCAGTAACAGCCTAGTTGATCAGGCTCTGATCCATCGGGAGGCCTGGTCGTGGACCGGGCCGCGGGGACGTTGATCCCCGGAATAACCTCCAGGTAACCTCCAGGTATCCAGGTAACCCCTCTAGTGTGTGGTAGTTTAAAGATGACAGAGGTACATGATGGATCCACAGACTGGGTACCAAAACTATATGTACTACAGTCTCTGAGCGACCTGACAGAGGTATTCCTATATTGCATAACTCTGGTATCCTGTGCCTCAGTGCAAGACACTGGAAAAAGTATTGCGTGCGACATAAGTTGAAAATACAGTTAAATATTAGCTTTGAAAATCTAAAGCAAATCAAAAGAGGCATCTGCAATTGCTGAGAAAGTAATATCCAAATTTCTTGAATAAAAATTATAAAGAAGTATATATTTTGTCCATGGAAGGTTTGAAGCTAATTGAGCACGACACTCCGAAATTGTCGCATGAAAACAACAGTATTTAAATTTTCCAAATATTTTCCATAAGAAAAATCAAATTGGGATGTACCCACGCCGAAAATATCCAAACGTTTCTCTAAGATCGACCAGAGTTTAAGTAAGTTAGTAAGTATAAATAAGTAAGAAAATAAAACTTAAATAAAAATATCTTATTATGTATATAAAAGAGTATTTACAAAGGTCTCTATGACACATAAATTCAAGTCACAAATAAATACCATATTTAAACAAACCAATATAACTCAGTAAAGTCAAACACTGTGATTTATTACTGATCAGAAGCGAAATATCTAGTTATAGATATTTCTCAGGAAACAATTTGATTAATAAAATTGTCACATTAAATCTTGCAAAATCTCAAATGAAGACGAAGCTTCCTCAGAATACTTCAGCACTCAGAGATAAAAGTTGACCAGAAGACAGAGACTCCGGTTATTACACTCAAACATAATTTGTACCCACTCTGCTGCCCAGGAACACGAAATGTTTCATTCATCTCATAAGAAGAATCAATCTTCTAAGATGGATGCTGATCACATTTGTTTTATTATAATCAGAGGAAAGCGATAAACCAGTATGTATCATACTGCGTCTGAGGAATGGGAGACATTGAGATTCGATTCAAGGGAAAGGAGGACAGATCCAGTTCCTTGGACAAAGAACCTCTAGCCAGCATCAAGGAAAAATAATCCAGCATTGTAATATAATACTATATCACTTCGAAATTAAAATTTGGCAACATCGCACACAGATTCTACATTAACGAGTGTTCAAATTTTGAAGGCAATCAGACAAGCCTTCTTATAACTGCAGTTGTACAGGTGTCTCCCAGGTATATAACATTGTGCAGGTGTCTCCCAGGTATATAACATTGTGCAGGTGTCTCCCAGGTATATAACATTGTGCAGGTGTCTCCCAGGTATATAACATTGTGCAGGTGTCTCCCAGGTATATAACATTGTGCAGGTGTCTCCCAGGTATGTAACATTGTGCAGGTGTTCTCCAGGTATATAACATTGTGCAGGTGTCTCCCAGGTATATAACATTGTGCAGGTGTCTCCCAGTATATAACATTGTGCAGGTGTCTCCCAGGTATGTAACATTGTGCAGGTGTCTCCCAGGTATATAACATTGTGCAGGTGTCTCCCAGGTATGTAACATTGTGCAGGTGTCTCCCAGGTATGTAACATTGTGCAGGTGGCTCCCAGGTATGTAACATTGTGCAGGTGGCTCCCAAATATGTAACATTATACAGGTGGCTCCCAGGTATGTAACATTGTGCAGGTGGCTCCCAGGTATGTAACATTGTGCAGGTAGCTCCCAGGTATGTAACATTGTGCAGGTGGCTCCCAGGTATGCAACATTGTGCAGGTGGCTCCCAGGTATGTAACATTGTGCAGGTGTCTCCCAGGTATGTAACATTGTGCAGGTGTCTCCCAGGTATGTAACATTGTGTAGGTGTCTCCCAGGTATGTAACATTATGTAGGTGTCTCCCAGGTATGTAACATTGTGTAGGTGTCTCCCAGGTATGTAACATTTGTGTTAGGCTGGCTCCAGGTATATAACATTGTACAGGCGGCTCCCAGGTATGTAACATTTAGCAGGTGGCTCCCAGGTAAGTAACATTGCACAGGTGGCTTCAGGGTATGTAACACTGAGCAGGTGGCTCCCAGGTATGTATCGCTGCGCAGGTGGCTCCCAGGTATGTAACATTGAGCAGGTGGCTCCAAGGTATGTAACATTGAGCAGGTGGCTCCCAGGTATGTATCACTACGCAGGTGGCTCCCAGGTATGTAACATTGAGCAGGTGGCTCCCAGGTATGTAACAATGCACAGGTGGCTCCCAGGTATGTATCACTGCGCAGGTGGCTCCCAGGTATGTAACACTGTACAGGTGGCTCCCAGGTATGTAACATTGTACAGGTGGCTCCCAAATACGTAACAGTGTGCCGGTGGCTCCCAGGTATGTAACAGTGTGCAGGTGGCTCCCACATATGAAGCATTGTGCAGGTGGCTCCCAAATATGTAACATTATACAGGTGGCTCCCAGGTATGTAACATTGTGCAGGTGGCTCCCAGGTATGGAACATTGTGCAGGTGGCTCCCAGGTATGTAACATTGTGCAGGTGGCTCCCAGGTATGTAACATTGTGCAGGTGGCTCCCAGGTATGTAACATTGTGCAGGTGGCTCCCAGGTATGTAACATTGTGCAGGTGGCTTCCAGTTATGTAACATTGTGCAGTTGGCTCCCAGGCATGTAACATTGTGCAGTTGGCTCCCAGGTATGTAACATTGTGCAGGTGGCTCCCAGGTATGTAACATTGTGCAGGTGTCTCCCAGGTATGTAACATTGTGCAGGTGGCTCCCAGGTATGTAATATTGCGCAGTTGGCTCCCAGGTATGTAACATTGTGTAGGTGGCTCACAGGTATGTAACATTGTGCAGGTGGCTAACAGGTATGCAACATTGTGCAGGTGGCTCCCAGGTATGTAACATTGTGCAGGTAGCTCCTAGGTATGTAACATTGTGCAGGTGGCTCCAAGATATGTAACATTATGCAGGTGGCTCCCACGTATGTAACGTTGCGCAGGTGGCTACCGGGTATATAACATTGTGAAGTTGGCTCCCAGGTATGTAACATTGTGCAGGTGGCTCCCACGTATGTAACATTGTGCAGATGGCTCCGAGGTATGTAACATGGTACAGGTGGCTCCCGGGTATGTTACATTGTGCAGGTGGTTCCCACGTATGTAACATTGTGCAGATGGCTCCAAGGTATGTAACATGGTACAGGTGGCTCCCAGGTATGTAACATTGTGCAGGTGGCTCACAGGTATGTAACATTGTGCAGGTGGCTCACAGGTATGTAACATTGTGCTGGTGGCTCCCAGGTATGTAACATTGTGCAGGTGGTTCCCACGTATGTAACATTGTGCAGATGGCTCCGAAGTATGTAACATGGTACAGGTGGCTCCCGGGTATGTTACATTGTGCAGGTGGTTCCCACGTATGTAACATTGTGGAGATGGCTCCGACATATGTATCATTGTGCAGGTGGCTCCCAGGTATGTCACATTGTGCAGATGGCGCCCAGGTATGTAGCATTGTGCAGGTGGCTCCCTGGTATGTAACATTGTGCAGGTGACTCTCAGGTATGTAACAGTGTGCAGGTAGCTCCACGGTGTGTATCAGTGTGCAGGTGGCCGGCAGGTATGTCACAGTGTACAGGTGGCTTCCTGGAATGTAACAGTGTGCAAGTGGCTCCCATATATGTAACAGTGTGTAGGTGGCTCCCAGGTTTGTAACAGTGGGCAGGTGGCTCCCGGGTATGTAGCAATGTGCAGGTGGCTCCGAAGTATGTAACAGTGTATGTAGTATGTATGCACTGTGCCGGGGGCTCCCAGATATGTAACGGTGTGCAGGTGGCTCACAGGTATATAACAGTGTGCACGTGGCTCCCAGATATGTAACTTTGTGCAGGTGGCTCCGAGGTATGTAACAGTGTGCAGGTGGCTTCGAGGTATGTAACACTGTGCAGGTGGCTCCCAGGTATGTTACAGTGTGCAGGTGGCTCGCAGGCATGTAACATTGTGCGCGTGGGTCCCAGGTATGTAACAGTGTTCAGGTGGCTCCCAGGTACGTAACAGTGTGCAGGTGGCTGCTAGGTATGTTACATTGTGTAGGTGTCTCCCAGGTATGTAACATTGTGTAGGTGGCTCCCAGGTATGTAACATTGTGTAGGTGTCTCCCAGGTATGTAACATTGTGTAGGTGTCTCCCATGTATGTAACATTGTGTAGGTGTCTCCCAGGTATGTAACATTGTGTAGGTGGCTCCCAGGTATGTAACATTGTGCAGGCGGCTCCCAGGTATGTAACATTTAGCAGGTGGCTCCCAGGTAAGTAACATTGCACAGGTGGCTTCAGGGTATGTAACATTGAGCAGGTGGCTCCCAGGTATGTGTCGCTGCGCAGGTGGCTCCCAGGTATGTAACATTGAGCAGGTGGCTCCAAGGTATGTAACATTGAGCAGGTGGCTCCCAGGTATGTATCACTGCGCAGGTGGCTCCCAGGTATCTAACACTGAGCAGGTGGATCCCAGGTATGTAACTTTGCACAGGTGGCTCCCAGGTATGTATCACTGCGCAGGTGGCTCCCAGGTATGTAACACTGTACAAGTGGCTCCCAGGTATGTAACATTGTGCAGGTGGCTCCCTGGTATGTAACATTGTGCAGGTGACTCTCAGGTATGTAACATTGTGCAGGTGGC